GATGATCCAAGAACCGCCGTGTCCGGTCTGTTCTGCGGCGGACGCAGCAATTCCTCCACCGGTCTGAACTTCATCCCAACTTTCGTCGAAGAAATGCATTCACTCTCCCTCCAATTAACTACGTGCCGTTTCGCAACTCAGACCATAAACTCCTCGCCGTCTTCCAACTCCACATCGATTTTCGCACTGATTCAATGCCACAGCGATCTCTCACCGTCCGATTGCCAGCTCTGCTACGCGATTGCGCGCACGCGCCTCCCTCGCTGTCTCCCTTCTTCCTCCGCAAGGATCTTCCTCGACGGTTGTTTCCTCCGCTACGAAACCTACCGATTCTACGACGAATCGGTCTCCGCCGCGTCGGACACTTACTCCTGCAGCAACGACGCCGTTTTAGATCCGCGGTTCGGGAATCGCGTTTCGGAGATCGCGGCGATGGTAGCGTTTAGCGACGGTGGTGGCGGTTTCGGAGTCGCCGGAGAGAGTGGAGCACACGCGCTTGCTCAGTGTTGGGAGAGTTTGGGGAGAGACGAGTGTAAGGTTTGTTTGGAGAAAGTTGTGAGGGAAGTGAAACGGTGCGTTTCGAGGAGAGAAGGAAGAGCTATGAATAGTGGATGTTATCTTAGATATTCTGATTATAAATTCTATAATGATCATGGTAAAATTCATGGTAAGATTTATTTTACTTAACTAGTTGATTCCATAGCTTGACCAATAATATTAAAATCGTAAACACAAAAATAGATTAATATAAAAAAAAACTCCAAATAACTCGAATGCAACACGAAAATTTTTCAGGAAATTTTTAATTTTTTAATAATCTCTAAGATTTTGGTGGCAGGGCTTCATAACAAAGGGGTCATTGTGGCTATGGTCTTGACCACGTCAGCATTTGTCATGCTCATTCTATTAGCAACGTACGTCATTATTGTCAAAGTATCAAAGGCCAAACAAGGTGAACATTTCACTATACCTACATGCTTTAATGGATATGTTGGGTACATATATAGAAACATTCGTTTTCTAAGAAAACAATAAATCATTTAGATTAGTTAGGTCCGTATGTGCATAAGAAACATTATATTTCCAATCAATTATTTTGATTAGACATGTACATTTCACTTTTTTTTTGGGCAAAGGCAAAGGTCATAGAGATTATTACCGTTTGAAATGTACATGTATAAAAATTCGATTAATTAATCTCACTCATTTTTTATCGAGCAGAAGAAAGAAATCTTGGTCTAGTTTCGAAAAAATTCAACAACTCCAGGACGAAGTTCAAGTACGAGACTCTAGAGAAGGCAACGGATTACTTTAGCCCCAAGAGAGAACTAGGAAGAGGAGGAAACGGTACCGTTTTCTTAGGAATCCTCCCAAATGGCAAGAACGTGGCCGTGAAGAGATTAGTGTTCAACACAAGAGAATGGGTAGAAGAATTCTTCAACGAAGTGAATCTCATAAGTGGAATCCAACATAAGAATCTTGTCAAGCTTCTTGGTTGTAGCATTGAAGGACCTGAGAGTCTCTTGGTTTACGAGTACGTCCCTAACAAAAGCCTCGACAGTTTCCTCTTTGGTAATAATTAAATCCTCCCTCAAGCTTTTCTCTAAAGTTTTGCATTGTTTAATTTTTTGTCAACAAAGTACATTATTACGGATTTAAATTCTGATGATAGAACAATGACGACACTAACACAAATCATTAATGGTCATTGTTTCATTCTTAAATTAGGATTTTTCGTATATATGCGTTTTACTTTCGAATAATCTTGGTTAAAATGTTTTAAAACGGAGTAGGGTCTGACAAGTGATTTCTTTGGGTTTCAGATGAGAGTAAAAGCAAGGTCTTAAACTGGAGCCAGAGGCTAAACATAATCCTTGGAACAGCGGAAGGATTGGCTTACCTACACGGAAGTGGCAGCTCACCGGTTAGGATTATTCACCGAGACATCAAAACTAGTAATGTTCTTCTAGACGACCAGCTCAATCCCAAGATCGCTGATTTCGGTCTGGCTCGATGTTTCGGCCTGGACAAAACTCATCTTAGTACCGGCATCGCAGGAACCCTGTAAGCTACTTAAAACACTAGAAACTAGTTGAGAAAAGTCTTTCAAGCTGAGTTTTGTCCCTTTCTACAGAGGTTACATGGCTCCAGAATATGTCGTTAAAGGACACTTAACTGAGAAAGCAGACGTTTATAGCTTCGGTGTTCTTCTTCTCGAGATTGCTTGTGGTACAAGAAACAATGATTTTACGCCGGGAACGGGTCATCTACTACAAAGAGTGAGATTCCCCAAAAACCAACCATATGCATCAAAATCAAAGTTCAGGGTTTCTTTGAATTTTAAAATTCACTATCGTTTCTGGTCTTTAGGTATGGAATCTCTATACAATGAATAGATTGGTTGAAGCCGTAAACCCATGTCTAAAAAGCGAGTTGCTTCAAGAGCAAGGCAGCGAAGCAGAAGCTTGTAAAGTTCTTCAAGTAGGACTGTTATGCACACAAGCTTCTCCATCCCTGAGACCGTCAATGGAAGAAGTTATCCGTATGTTAACCGAGCATGATTGTCCGATTCCTTCTCCAACCAATCCTCCATTCTTGAGACTTAGCTCTTTAACTACGAATCCAGAGAGCAGTAGTAGCACCAATAGTACTACGATGGTTAAAACCGATCAAGCTTCTTATACCTCTTCAGAATCTTCTACAACTCGTAGGACCTAAGCTAAGGATTTTTTTCCTAGAAGTTCCATCGATTTTTGTGGTCCGACGTACGCAAAATTCTTGCAAAACTAATGTTCATATGAATGCATTTCATTTAGCCTTGTTTCGGTAATCTGATTTTGTAAGTCGAATACAACATGTGAGCTTCTGCGGTACCACATAATATATAGATTTCGAAAACTTAAACTCAAGTGGTTGAACAACATATCCTTAATCAGCAAAATACTAACCTTTCAACATATCCAACATCTAAAATTCCCATTTTTAATAACATTTGTATAAATAAACATACCCTGAAATAAGACCAAAACGTGTTCCTTTGGTTCTTGATCTTGAACTCCTATAAGATAGTAAATCCCTTTCTGCATCTTGAACATCCATGTACCAGAGAGTTATTAATCCCACTTTAACAAGCATAGATGGCACCATTTTCAATTCTTCAATGTCTAAAATACTCATGTATCAAAATTCAAAACTACTTATATATAATGTAAGATTATAAAAACTGAGAAAAACATACACGAATCACTACTCATCTTCCGCGACAACACCGATCTCTCCCTTCTCGAGCAAATCATAGAACTCCCTCGTTCGTCTTTGATTGTTCCAATGATGCATTTTCCAGAGCCCTCCCGCAGCAAGGCCTAGTGTTATTCCATATATTATCTCTTTGACTATGCTTGGTCCTTTATAAACAGCCTTTCCGATCTTTGGAACATTCGCCATTAAGATCTCCTAAGTAAATAATATTGTATTTATCAGAATAAATATTCAGTTTTCTATCTAGTGTTCTAACAAATTATAGTAAAGTTTTTTTTTTGCTAACCTACAAATTGTAGTAAAGTTCCAATGTTTTCCGCAAAAACGCTAAGGGTTTGCGTTCATGTTTATGTTTACATAAAAACTATAAAAAAAAATCACATTTTAAGCATACCATCAAATCGTTTCAAACTCCAACTTTGCATTTGTGAACCTAAATGAAACAAAAAGTTGACATCTTGAAGTATAATAAATTTTCTGTTTTTCGATCTTAAACTATTTTTTTTAATCATAATTCAGCCAAACGCAAACTAATGTTTACAATATCTTGAATTATATTCAACTAGTGTTGTGCCCTCTGCACGTTGCAGAGGAAATTTTTTTTTTTTGTAAACAGAATTTTAATTTTTTTCAAATGGATCAAAAAGAAATATGTGCTTTGTTGAAATCGAAAACTGTCATGAAAATCTATTTAACTTACAAATAGAAATGAAAAGAGAGGTGTATTAGTGGTGATCGTGGGTGAGGAGAAGCAATTAAAAGAAAAAGCCGAGGAATTTGATTTCATTATTTGTTTATGTGGATTTGAAAAGGAAAAAAAATCTCTCGTTACCCAAAATTACCCAAAAAATCGGAATAGCATATTTAGTTACAAAAAAAACGGAATAGCAAATTTTGAGAGTTTTGCCACTTGACATATAGGGCAAGTTGCAGTTAATCGAAAACTTACTTGTGACTTATTATAATAGGATTAATGGACATGCAAAGCAAGAAAGATGGTAAGATTACAATGATGCGTGAAAATTTTCGAAACCAACAGAAATTGAAGAAGACCTTTGGGCAAAGAAAAACAGAGGTTTTCCACTGCTACGCGGTTTTTAGTAAACCACTTTCTAGTACCGAAAGATTTCAAGTTATTATTTTATAAACACTATTTTCCCCGTCGACATGTGTAAGTCACGTCAGCGCATATGAGAGCCACGTGTGAATAATGAGCTTGATTATTATTTATTTTTTTTCTTTGTAAAAATTTCTTAAAATACTACGCTATCAAATTTTGTTTTAAAAATATCGTTAGTTTAACTATTAAAAAATACCATCAAAAATTTTGGTTCTTCCAAAATACCATAAACACTAAACTTGATTTTCGAAAATGTCATCATAAGTTGTGTATTTTTAAAACTAACACAAATTAATGATT